GTGAAACAAGAGGGGAAACTTTTTAAACAGGACAAGGAATCGCTTATTAAATCAGATTTAAGGAAGGAAGTATGGACTTTCCATGGAACTGGTGGGTGTACTCTCATTGATACTGAACATTTCTCCTGCCTGCCATATTGACTGGCTGGTTCACTCCCAGTTTGACAGTTCCTTCCTCATAATTGATGGTTTCCTAAATCACCACCCTAATATAGTTCTCCTAGGTCACCTGACTGCAGTTCCTCCCTAGTTTTGCTGCTGAATGCTTCCTTACTCATTAAGGGCCAAATCCATCATCCCTGACGATGTAAGGCCAGAGAAATACTACTGAAATCAGTGACGTTTCTGTGGCTTTACAAGTTGTGTAATTGAAGAAGAGACTTTGGCCATGAATATGTCTTGTGTGTGATGGTCTTTCGCCAGCTATGTTACACTTATTCCAGGTCACATCATAAAGAAGCAGCTTAACTATTATTGATGGTTTGTAAATTAGATTAGTTCTTTTACAAATTCTGTATGGCTGAAATATTGCCAGAGGGAAATGTTTATTAATGTTGGGGGGGTAGAGTGTCTGTATCTTTTCAGCGCCTTATGCAACCTTCAGGATGTAAAAGCTTTTTTTTTATTTGGGTTTTTTCCTGCTAAATTTCCCCTCCAGCCACATTACAGGGATCACGGCCAAATGGCAGCAGACTGTCTCCACCATCCTCCACATTTTACAAACTTTGTATTTCATTATAGCAGCTAATAAGCCATAATTTATCATGTATTGACGAGTAGCCATGAAAATGAGGGGCAGGGATGCAGATTTATAAAACAGCCTATGATGGTATTAAAATCCCAAGCTATAATTTATTTTAGAAACATGAGATTATATTGTTTGGTCTCCTCTGATTTATCCAAGCAGAAAATAGAGAATAGTCAAGTTTTCTCTAAACCCATTTGAGTCATTATTTACAATCATGGATATAGACCGTTCAAAGAGGCATAACAGCTCTTACCTGTTGGGATTGAAGGCCAGGTTGCGGCATTTAGCCTTGCTCCCCTCTTTGTGGCTGGCCACCTCCCTGCGACATATTTCCACTTCTTCTCCAATCCCTTTGGAATGATTTGCATCTTGAAGGCTCTCAGATGGAACAGTCCCTATACGACTGCTTCAGGTGGCCTTTATGTAGCCCAGCTTTCAGGCTCAAAGCACCTATGCCATAAGCTTCCAAAGTCCTCTGTTAAGCAGGGTCCACTCACTGCTCACTCCACTTGTGGAGGGTGCTGAGGGTAATAAATGGGGGAGTAGTCCCAATTGCCCTTCAATTCGTCTTAACCACTGATGGCACAGCAAGTGGGGATTGTATCCAGTGTCTAAAGTGCCTGCTCTGTTGGTTTTCCTTTCCTTCTGCCCTTCTGGCAGGGGTGGGGGAAGCAGTGCTATCATTGTTTGTAATTAGTTTTTCTAGGTATGTCTGCACTTAAAATGCTACAGCTGCACTACAGCAATGCTTCAGTATAGACCCTATCTGTTCTGATATGAGAGTTTCTCCTGTCGGTGTAGGTAATCCATCTCCCCAAGAGACAGTTGCTAGGTTGATGGAAGAATTCTTCCAGTGACCTAGCATTTTCTACTCTGGGACTTAGGCCTGGTCTACACTAGAAATTTACTTTGGTATAAGTACATCTCTCAGGGTTGTGAAAAATCCTCACCCCTGAGAGATGTTGCTAAAAGAATTCTTCCGTTGACGTAGCTACTGCCTCTCAGGGAGCTAGATTATCTACGCCAATTGGAGAAGCCCTCCTGTTAGCGTAGGTCAGCGTTCTCAAACTTCATTGCACCGTGACCCCCTTCTGACAACAAAAATGACTACATGACCCCAAGAGGAGGGGACTGAAGACCGAGCCCACCGCTCCAGGCAAGCGTCCAAAGCTGAAGCCAAAGGGCTTCTGCCCTGGGCTGGTGGCATGTAACCTTAGCCCTGGGCGGTGGGGCTTGGGCTTGGGCTTCAGACTTGCTGGGGCCCAGGGCCAACACCAGCTTTGGTGACCCCATTAAAATGGGATCGCGACCCACTTTGGGTTCCCGACCCACAGTTTGAGAACCCCTGGCGTGGGTAGTGTCTACACTGAAGCACTGTAGTGGCATAGCTACAACAGTGCAGCCGCACCACTGCAGCATTTTAAGTGTAGACGTACCCTTAGGTCATCTTAACAATGCCGCTCAGGTCTGTGGATTTTACACACCCCAAGAGATGTAGCTAAATTGACCTAATTTTCTAGTGTAGTGTAGTCAGTGAATCAGCCTTTCTTAACAGAAGAAAAAGAAGAGGAGGCGGCCCATGTGGCCTGGGTATCATATGCACCAGCAAAGACAGAGGGCTGCCTCACACAATCCTGCTTCTGGGTGAGGTTCTTGAGGCCTGGTCAACTAATGGAATCTGTGCAAGGGCCATGGACAATCTGTCCTTTAGCAGGTAACTCTAAATGATGGTTTCCTACAAAAATGCTTCTTTCTTGTTCAACTAAACAATTCAAAATCTGTTTGGAGAGGAGGTTTTAAACATGCACGCACACTCTGAAGGTTTGTTTGCAGTTGACGTCACATGATAGAACATTGCTGATGCTCCCAGCCAGAATGCATTTTGCCCCGGACTGCTCCTATCTCTCTGGCCAATAAGAAATGTTATTTCTCTGAAGGGAGTAAATTTTACAGTATAATGCTTTAAAACTAATGTACACAAAGGCATGTGTGTGCACATGTACACACAATATGCTCTCCACACAGCCTGAATTACTGAAAGTTGTTGAACTAAACTTTTTAGCTAATATTAATGTGTACTCCTGAATAAAAATTTGTTGGCATTTTAAAAATTAAAGCTGAAGCAAATGCAGTAGTGTGAGAAATCTGGATCTCCTGTTTCAAAGTTAGGATGCAGCAGGTCTGTGCAGAAGAGGAAGTGTGCATGTGACATGCTGCTAAAGTCAGTCTCCTATGATGGGAAAGATGATAAAGTAATTTTACGTGAACCATGTTAATATTACACTAGGTATTGTGCCACCATTCAGCATCCTTGTCTGGTGCTAATTATGTCATCAGTTATATGAAATGAAATGAAAATGGGACTAGCTCAAACCCTGCACCCCAATATTAATCAGAGTTCCTTAGTTTACTTTATTTTAGACAGAAATTGAAAATGTCCAATGAATGGAAAACCTGCAGGTTACTCCAGAGATGTGACAACCAGGGACCAAATCTTAGTCAAGACCAAATTAAAAATCATTCTGCTCCTTCTTCCTCTTTTTAACAGAAGCTACTTTTAGACTAACAGCTGAGATCTAAAATATATCGCAGTAAGCAAATATTTCACTGTGGCAGCTAGTGGACCTTCTGTTGCACTAATTACTGTCCCCTGCATTCTCTTTGGATTTCATTCCTGTTTTCATAGAACATATGTACTAATGTGTTACTGGGATGATTGTGTGTCAGATTGATTGGGGAGAGGGAAATGCATTGAATGGTTCATGTTCCATATAAAAGGAACAAAGTAGACATTTTTAGTATAATTCCTGTACAGTCTCCTGGCTGGAACATATATGAATGTCAGATCTGTTCTGTTTGAACAGTTAAAAGATTAGAATTATCCATGTCGTTTCATAGTAAAATTTCACTGCATCTGATGGTACACAAAAACCTTTTAAAATAGTTCTAAGAAATAAGTTCTATTAATGAGAGAAATTCTGTATCTCCTCTGAGCTGTAGTGACTTGTCCAATGTTTGAGTCAGGCATATTCCTAGAATACAACCTCAGAATTTATTGGTGTTGATTATTTTTGGCTTGCTACTAACCATTTAGCTATAAATCACCTTGCATTTTTTAAACTGGTTTCATCCAGCAAATAATGAAGCATGTCCTGTTCACTGGCCCCTCCTGTTGGAATTCCACCACCAAAGATTTATTATTGTGATGCAATGAGTCTGTCATGCAAATTGCTATACATACATCTGCTGCTGCCTGTGGTTTAATCATGAATAATACCAGTACCATTACTGCACCTTTGCTGTTAATTGCACTACCGCCTCATGAGAGAAAGAGAAAGGATTGAACTGGAGACTGACCTCCACTTGGGACAGTGAATAGAAGCTGCTGCCTATGCCGTTCCTGTTCTGGGGATCCATAGAGACTTCTTTTTCTAGGGCTAGCTATAGTCCAGCACTAAATTTACTGTCACAAAAATTATTAATTATAAAAACACACTGATCGTAATGCCTGAGGTATGAGAAGGAGCAGCACCCAGCTAGGTCTGTTGTTGCATAAATATTGGTTGTCTATATTCTATGGAAACAATATAATTAGGCAGCAAGGCTGCATGTGGTGAGAATTCACTGTGAGGCCTGGCCTACACTTAAAAATTAGATTGACCTACCTATGTCACTCAGGGATATGAAAAATGTGCCTGAGCCTTATAGTTGGATCGACCTTGTCCCTGAGGTAGATGTGGCTAGTTTGGTGGAAGAATTCTTCCATCGACCTAGCTCCCGCCTCTTGGAAAGTTGGATTGCTACATTGGTGGGGAAAAAACCTCCTGTCAGTGTAGGAAGGGTCTACACCATGGTGCTACAGCACAGTGTCGACATATCCGTAGAGAGAGAGAATGGAGTGTAAATGTCGTCTTCAGGTGACTAAATCTTGAAACAAAGCTGAAACATTATAATAGCAAAAGCCAATTTATTGCAGCTGTCCTTCTGTTTCCATGGAAATAGTTCCTGTTTTATGACAAGGGAATATCAAACCAAAGCATGCATCACTGAAGGAAGGGACAATTGAGCTATGTTGCACAATGTTTTTTTTCCTGGCTCTGAAGCCATTTTGCAGAGGGGCTTGGGTGAATAACTGTTGATGTCTGAAATTGGCCAAAATCCTTCTCTTGTTTCTGCGTCATAAATGTTTGAAAGAAATTATTGTAATCACAGGGTTATCGCATTTCCCTTGAAACATGCATTATTTTCATAGATTACCTTGCCAACCACGGCCGTCTGAGTGAGCCGGAGGCCAGGCGCAAATTCTGGCAAATCCTCTCTGCGGTGGAATATTGTCATAGCCGAAAGATTGTGCACCGTGACCTCAAGGCTGAAAATCTCCTGCTCGACAACAACATGAACATCAAAATAGCAGGTACTCAGAATACAGTTGATTCTAAATAATACCTTATTTGTATCCATGGAAGCACCTGGTCTGCTCCAACAAATCAGTTGCTGTTGCTCAAATGATTCCACTAACAGTAAGAAGTGGAAAGGCAAAAGAGGGCAATATTTTACATTTGTGGGTAATTTGTGATGATGGCAATAAACACCAACTAAAAATAACTCCTAGTTTAGTTCCTTTTTGTCTTCAGAAAAATGGAACTAATGTATAGAGTTGTGGTGTGGTATTTTTTGGGGGGTGGGGGTCGGGAGAGTGGTTTTTTTGTAGTGTCATGACACTTCATTAACACTGCCAGATGTGCAGGTTAAAACAAAATTAATCAAATAATTTCTTTCAACATAAAAAAAACTCCAAATGGAAGCCTATTGATTTTTTTTTACCATGCATGATTTCATTTTAATAAATTTAGACACAGCAGATGTTATATGCAATGGGATAATTTTGCTGCTTGTTACTTCATTACAATTCCAAGAACCCTTCCAGACTGATTTTAGCCCTGACACTCTAGCATAGGGAAGGGTTGGGTGACACCCTCACTTGGAGAACTTTTGTGATTGGCAGTAGCCAGGGAACGGGGTGGGGGGGGATAGGGGAAAAGGAGTCTCTGCAGTAAGAAGCTGGTTTTCAGTGAAGTAAACTTGCCAGCTCTGACAAGAAAGTGCAAATAGCCTTTCAGTTGGCTGACAAAGCTGTAGAGATACTCTTTTAAGATACAAATCCCTATCACATCATCTTATTGTTGGACTTCCTACCGAGGTTTCCTGCAGTGGCTTAAAAGCCATTGCCATGATGCAGGATGCATCTTGATCTCTGATATTTTCCATACGGACAAGGCTGTAGGAATGTGTTAAAGGTAACACTCAACAGACTTTTATTTTAAAATTGGCAAAAAACAATGAAAAGGGAGGTGTATTTAATTTCAATGTGTGGTGCCTGCAGCGCCTGCTTGCCTGTTCCATATCGCTGGTAGAACATTAGACTATTTCTAGTTGCTGGTTTTAAACATACTGGAGGACATTTTTGGTTGAAGAAAGAATGGAAGGATCCTTTATTGTTATATTTTGGGTTAAACCTCCATGAAACTTGGGGGTGTAACAGCCAGGCTTCGTTTAAAATAGTAGGAACAGTTAAGCTCCTTCATGAAATACTAGCTCTGTCTACCCAAAACAAAGACACAACCAAGGCCACTCGTGAATTTGAATTATGTGGGCGGAGGGCTTCACTGTGTATTGTTTGAATAGGAAGTGTTTGGGGATGGGAGACAAGAAGCAGAGAGGTACATAGAAACAGGGAAGGAAACTCCAGACGTAACCTGGATAAGTTTGGTGTGTGGTCCTTAGAGAAGCCTGGAGGAAGGACTTTTGGGTCTGATGCTAGCTAAGAGAGATTTGGGACTCTGAGGAAGGAAGCAGTCTCCTGTTTGGTTCCTGCTGTGTTCAGGGGAAAAAAGGATTTTGTACATTTTTGTAAATAAACAAGATTACAACAAAGGTATCTGACTCCATCAGTTTCTTCTCCTAACTGGAATCTGCAAGACCCCAAATCTTTGGCTAGGTGTTCAGGTCAAGAAGGGTAACGCTATAAAACAAGGGAGCAAATGGACAATTAATAGCTGGTTCTTGATGTCAAGTCCTGTATACTTCATGGCCACACTTATGCATCCTTGTAGCCATGGGTGCTGGAACTATTTTTATAGTGGGGGTGCTGAGATCCATTGAAGCAAACTGTAAACCCTGGATATAATGGAAACCACTTCAAGCCAGGGGATGCGGCAGTACACTCGCAGTCCTAATTCCTGCAGCACTCTATTGTGTCACACTAGAAAGTCTGCAGCAGCTTCAGATAAACTAAAAATGGAAGGCTTTTATTTCATGTAATCTGAAAACGAATAGCACAGTTATTGCAATAGTCCCCATGTAATTTCATTTGATATTAAACTTCATTTTATTTGATAAATTTCAGGGTTTTTTTTGTATGTTTCAAGATTTTGTATTGAAAATGCATATCTGTTGTTGAAGTTGTCAGGAAACAGGAGGATTTTACAGTAACTTTGCATGGAAGTTGGGATCTTTGGAGTAAGGGACAAATGGGGCTTTTGGCATGGAAGGCCATTTGAAACTGTGGACCAAGTGCATAAGCTGGATGTTATAATAAACGGTTCAAAGTGAAATAGTAAATAATGTCCAGAATGAATTTGTAGTATTCAGTTTCAGAATTAGCACCCCATTAAAATTAATTGAGCAATTAACATTGTTCTCTCAGAGCTATTGGTGACAAAGATACCTGAATTGATACTGAGGCTTTTAGGCAGTTCTCTCAACTTCATTCTACCACTTGGGCAGCTTCATCGGTACTAGCACTGATAGGACACTCGGAGTGTTTTGGGGGTTCTTTTTGACCATTGTGTCATCTAGACTTGCATTGACCATTGGTAAGGCTACGTTTTTGCCACGGATATTTTTAGTAAAAGTCATGGACAGGTCGTGGGAAAGAAACAAAAATTCATGGCAGCCTGTGACCTTTTCCTGACTTTTACTAAAAATATCCCTGACAAAAGGGGTAGGTGGGTTCAGCACCCACTGCTGCTGGGGCTCCCGCTGCTCCCACTGATGCGGTGCGTGGGAGCTCTGGGGTCCCCCTGCTGCAGGGTCCACTCGCCCCGGGCAGCTGGTAGCTGCAGGGTCCTGCAGCTGTGGGGAGTCCCCGCTGGCTGCTGTGTGCTGCCGGCTGCCCACTGCAGCTGGGCATGCAGGGTCCCTCCACCAGGTTGGGAGCTGTGAGGGTGGCACTGGCTGGGAGCTCCAGCCCCAGGGCAGAAAATGTCATGGAGGTCAATGGAAGTCACAGATTCCGTTACCTCTGTGACCTAATCGTAGCCTTAACCAGTGGTTTGCAGTCTGTTCATGTTTTCTAAGGGTTTCTTTGCACAATAAGACTTAACGACTTATGACTGTTGCGATTATTACTATTTTTTAGAATGAAAGCTGAAATTCTGGAGCAGTACTTGGGCAAATTTTGCAGCTCAGAATTGCAGCGTATTTGGACCCATCTACTATCAGTAGCTGTACTGAATTAATGAACATTCTTGGCCTATTATTTGTATGGTCTTTCATTTCTTCTTCTGTTCATCTCTTCTTCCCCACCCTCTCCCTCCATTTTATTTTCTTTGCCATTTTTTGTGCTGTTGTTTGCCATGTCCAACCAGGATTGTTTTTCAGATTTCCTCCTCAGGGGTCTGAGCTGCCTTGAAGGTTGTGTGCTGTATTCGGAGAAGGTCTCCTTTTCATAATTTCCTTAGAGGTGCAGGGAAGCAAGTTCCTTGCCTCCCTGAACATTCCAGCACAAGCACAACAAAGGTTCACAAAAACACTATTTCAAAGGCATCCCAGGAGCCCTGTTAGCCAAGGAAAGGTTAGAGACATGAGCTGTTCTAGCATAGGGAATTTCACAGCGTGCATTCTCCAGGATTCAAATATAAATAAAAGCAAGGTGAAATTATAAAGTTATTAGCCAATTCCATTTACTGCTTATGGCAGGCGCTCTCTCTCTCTCTCTTCAGATCTTCTGTAGTGCTATCACTGTATTGTCAAAATGCTCATTACTGTGCTGGCCTGTGGATAAGTATCCACGTTAGCCAGTAGTCCCACGTTTCACACTTTTCATATCCTGTGATTCTTATGTACAGCTTTGTCATACCCAGAGTGGTCCCTTTGTCCAGCAGTGGCTCTAGTGATGGCTAATCAGAAGACAGTCGTAGCTGTCAGAAACATTATGGTGATTGGTGCCAAGTCACCTCTTTCATTAATTCCACAAAGTGATGAGCAGTGAATTTCACCCAGTGTTTCACCCCAGACTGCATGGTGATGTGTTGTCACAGAGGTCCTTGTCCTTTCTCCCCTTCCCCAATGGGTCATTTGTGCTCAGATGGATGCAAGTTGCTGTATTCTTCACTGCCTCCAATCATCAAATTGAGAAAGAGCAAAAGGCAGCTAGAGTACTAAAGCTAGCTTTAATCCTCGCTGTCATGAAAATACTGTACATTTTTTTTAAACAGCAAATTAAAGCAGTTGATTATTTTGAGAGACAGTTCTGCAAAGTCAGAGGAAAACCAAACTCAGCTGATATCTAACTCCAAGAGTGTTCTATTGTTGTTGTAATGGCATTGGGCTTTTTGAACTAATTCTTTGGGCCCTCCCTCTGCTAGTCAGTCCAGCCATCTGGGAAATCCAGCCACACATCCAGTTCTGCTATGGAAGAACAATGAGTCAACGGCCCAGCTGCATTCTTCACAGTAACTTGCTGGTTCATCTCACTAGTTAATTTGCTGGCAAATCTGCTTCTGGCTCTTGGGGTTCTTATTCTGAAGCTTTTTCTTTTTAGTGGCCGAACACTTCTTAGTCAAATATAGAAGTAGGAATAAAATTGCCCTGTGTGGTTCAGCTCAATGGTGAAGACACTGAGACCCCAAAAAACCTGTTCCCAAGAATGTATGCTGAAGTATTTGTGAGATTGTCACCCCTGCTGCTTAGGCTCCTCCTCCTCCCTCCACCCCACCCCCCAAGGCAGTACTGCAAGTTACAGGTTTTTTATTTAAAATTGTTCCAAAAAACAATGGAGAGAGGTCCAAGGAACTTTTCTCAACAGGGGTCTTTATGTAAGGAAATAAATGTTAATCCTAGGGAGCAATGACTCCTGAACTGATTGTTCTAGGGGATTATCTTCCAGAATTTTTTATATATAAATAAATCCAAACTCAAAATGTGTCCTAAATAACAAACATACATATATTAACAAGGCCCTCCATTTTTTTTATTTTGTTTAAAATTACCAAGGAATTTATCATATGTTCATTACAAAAAATTTAAAATAGGTGGAAATTGGTGCAACAAGTTATCAGTTTTCTGAGTAAGCATCTGGGTTAATATTGGGGGATGGGAGAACAGAAAAAAGCAATAAATAGAGAAACGTAA